CAAAAGCCTAGTCCATTATCCAATGCTAAATCAGAGCCAAGGTGCCAAAAAGTCAGTTACAGGAAAGCGTAAGAGTTCACAAACCATACTGTCCATCATATGATGTACTTAGAATTATAAATACTGCCACAGGAAAATTTCTTGTCTTTGCAGCGACCGCACAGTTCCTGTCGATGAGGCCTCCTTCTATCATTACGTCTTTTCTTTTGGAGACAGGAACACTGAGACTTTGAACAGGTCTTTAGAAAACAAAGAATAGTTTGGATACGAAATGACCAAATTGTGCTTCTAGAGTAATCCATAATCAAAATACTTCCCAGCTACCCCACCGCTGATACTTTTACCTTTCTTTTAATGCTATAAGAAGTTCCTAAGTTATACAAAAGCAATGAATCCCACTAAATAGGAGACGTCTTTCAAGACGAATGATTAGACATGATGAAGAGAACATTTCTACATCAACCAAGATGACGTCAAAGTTAAAGACATTTGTGTATGTGTGTGTGTGTGTTTGAGACAGTGTCTCGCTATGCAGTTCAGGCTGACCTTGAGCTCACTTTGTAGCCCAGGCTGACCTTGAACTCCCAACGATCCTCCTGCCTCAGCCTCCCGAGTGCTGGGATTAAAGCATGAGCCACCATGCCCGGCTAAAGTTAAAGACATTTGTAGAACTTCTCTCTGTAGTTGTGTAGCCAGATAAAAATGAGGGATAGTGGGTGGGGTAAGGTATTTGATTATCTAAATGAGAACATTAGAATGTAATCCAGCAATAGTTCTCAACTAGATGTGATTTACTGGGGCACCTGGCAAGTGTAAGGTATGTTAGGCTGCCGCAGCTAACAGGAAAGTATATTCTAGAGGAAGTGAAACCCTTTTCTTTCCAGATATGCCCAATTTTTACCCAGATTTAAAGCAGTACTTTTCAACTAATAGCCCATTTTATCTTATGCTAAATAAAAAGTTATATTCCATGAAGATACGTGCTGCCCTGGTCCACCCTCTTATCCCTGCTAAATACTGATACTGATAATCACTGCTGGGTTCTGCTTCTATCCTATACGTCAAGGTTTATCTTTTACACTAAAAACAGGCTCTTTCATTCTTCCAAAGAAGAGTCTTAAATATGATTTTGCAAACATTATATTTACATCCTCCACTCTCATTTAGGATTATTCCTCTTAATAAGAAAATTCTAACAGCCAATATGTTTATAACCACCCTAAGCATGTTGTATAAATTCATTTAATGTTCACAATTTCTTTTGGGGGAAGAAAAGACTCAATAAAGTATGGTTTACTTTAAGGTAGATTGTTGCTTCTGGCAATGGTAATTAGGGAATTATGATCAAGCCTGCTGGACAACTAGAAAAACTGCACTAAAAATAACTACTAGAAGGAAATTATCAAAGCATTAAAAATGGAAACTCAGAAAGAGGTAAACCTGACATTTGGCAATTATTTTTAAAACAAAAACCTCTTTTGATTATTTTTTTAAAAACTATATTTAACTATTTTGAAAATCTTAAAGATATCTTTCTTTCACATGTTTTTAGGACCCTTCCTCCAACTCAAGAGGACTTAATAGGAAGCTAAGATCTCATCTGGTTCTGTGATTGTCTATACATTGCCAGTACCATAGAATCCAATCGCAGGTCTAATGCTATCAGCCTAACTTGGAGAGTTACTTTACCTTATTAAATGTTGCTTTCTGATCCATAAAATGGGGATAACACCTATCACCAAGGTTAGACTGCAAGGCATACTGCTCATAAAACTGCCTGCCTATTCAGAAAGCAATAAAATACAAGAGAAAGTGAAACACAAGATTAACAAATCGATAATGATAAGGGATATGCCAGGCTGGATTGCCACAAAACAACTCAGACTTTATGCTGGGAACCTGAAGGGCTACAACCCAAGCATAAAGTTGCACCAAATATAGACCTGCTTTTACAGGTACCGAAGTGTTGCTTCAAAATAGTTCAACCCTGATTGAAAAATTGTGACCTGACACTGCAGATACACTTATCTGTCTATCAGAGTAAGCATACATCCTCTCTTGAAGAAGACACTATGCTAGGCTACGAATTTCAGAACTGTCACTAAATGACACTAGTACTCAGGGTATACAAGAAGACAAAATAAAAAGCTGAAAATCAAGAGAGCAGCAACAGACGCCCAAGAAGTTAAGCTAATGGAATTATCTCACAGATTTTAAAATAGTTATGCAAATCCAAGGAAATAAAACATCTCCAAAGATTTTTAAAAACAAAAAAAAAATTCTAGAACAGAAAGATATAACCGATAGCAATAACTTAGTGGATACTCTTAAGAGCAAATTGAAAAACGTTGAGATGATAGTTAGAAATGGAAACTAGTTTAATAGATAATACCTTGACTGGTACAAGAAAAAACCGAAAGCATGGGATATGTATTTTAAAAGAGCATAGGAGTCAGGATTATGGTAAGGGCCTAATATGAGTCATTGGAGGAGAGAGAGATGGAGAACAGGAACAGAAATAATACATGTTTGAAAAGGTAATGGTGGTAATTGCCCAAAAGTAATGAAGATCTTCAAGCCACAGATTCAAGAAACATCCCCCAGACACAAGAGGCAGGATAAATACAGAGAAGACACAAGCAGACACATCGCAAAAAAGAAAAAAAATCAAAGCAGAAAGACACACTAGTGCCTCGGTACACAAACTTAACTCTTTCCAAATCTTAAAAGCAAGCAGATTTAAGGAGGACAGCAAAAGAAAGAACTGCAATGAGACTAACAGCCAGCTGCACAGAAGCAATGATGGGATTTTAAAGGACAGACAGGCCATGTCCCTGCAATCTCAACCCCCAGGAGGCTGAGGCAGGAGGACTGAGTTCAGTGCCAGCTTGGGCTACACAGCAAGTTCAAGGCTTGATTATGTAGTGAGACTCTGTCAGAAAACCAAAAAAAAGGACAGAAAGAACTATAAATTCTACCCCTGGCAAAAATCTCTCCTGAAAAGATATCCAGATAAAAATAAAATTTGTCACCTTCATACTGTACTACAAAAAATGTGTGTGTGTTCAGGTAGAAGAAATTAACGTCATAGAGAAAAAGATACAAAAGAGAGCCAAGAGCACAGGAAGAATAAATGCATAGCTAAGGCTAAATGAATGTTGACCAAATGAAATATGAAGTTTAAAATATAGGTAAAATTAAACACACAAAAAAGGCAGCAGATAAGTTATAATTTAAAGGATGCAAATAGTTTAAAGCCTCTGCACTGAAGAAAGGTAAATTTATTTAGTCCTTGACAAGTCCAGGAGTCTTACCACCACCTCTATAAAAGCCACTAGAAAAACAGATAAGAATGGTTTTAAAAAGAATGACTACCAAGGTAAGTGATAGAGAAATGAAATTTTAAAAATCAACTGAGCAGGAACCAGGGATATAGCACTCAAGGAGGCTGAGGCAGAAGATTGCTCCAAGTCCAAGGCCAGCCAGGGCTACATAGTGAGTACAAGGCCAAGGCCAGTCTGAACTACACAGTAAGATTGTCTCAAAAAAAAAAAAAAAAAGGAAGAAAGAAAAACAGAAAATATATTTAAACACATTTTGATATGAAACACAAGAATACTAAGAATCACATACCAGAAAATCTGAGGATAAGTCATTTATAAACTAGTTTTTAAAATATTACTTACTAACCACAGAAGAAGGAAAACATTTTTAGCTGGAGGATTTAGTTTGTGTTATGCAGTACAGACATTCTTTGTTTAATGACCAAGCTACAGTCTGCAGCGAGGCTGTTAACTGAATTTGTTGCTAATGAGGAACTGCACATATATATATATATATATATATATATAAAACAATCTTCAGAACAAAGAAATGGTCAAAGGAAACTGCAACTTGATCCCTTCACTTTGATTTGCTTAACTCTTATATCCAGTACTGTATTACACAACACAGCATAAAACAACAGTATTGCACAGTGCGACCACTAAAAACCACAGCACTGCACTGTACAAGCAGCCACAAGGCCACACCACCACTCTTGTTCCTGCACTGAAGTCTGAGGAGCTGATAAACAGGCAGGTTGTCAAATGAGGAACACCTGTGCCAGGAATGGAAAACACACACACACACACACACACACACACACACACACACACACACACACACCACCCCCTCCCACCACCCCTCCCCCACCCCCACCCCTCCCCCGTCTTCATCCTGGCCTGCACTCCCAGCCCTGCGGCTACTTCTCATGTTTGAGACTGGACCTTGCTAAATTGCTAATGCTGAGTTGCACCTGGCTATTCCCTGCCTCCACCTCCCAGAGTGCTGGGATTACATGTGTGTGCCACTTAACCAGCTTTTATATTTTTTCTTAAATTCAAACATTAATCATATTGCACTTATTTGAAAAGACTAAAGACAGGTTTTCTTCAAGCTAAAGATTCCGCACATGCTCTCCCCAAAATGTAAAAAAGACTTTGTTGGAAATTAAGATCTCATCTGTTCTGTGACTTTCTAAACATTGGAGACACCTGGGGACCAGTTACAGGTCTAATCCTAGCAGTCCAGTCCAGGGTCAGTTATTCATTTTATTGAACTTAGCATTTTGATCTGCAAAATGGGAATAACGCCTATCACAAAGGTGACATCACACAAAATAATACATCTAAAACACTTAAACGCTCCTACACAGTGAATACTTAATAACAGCTAATTATCAAATTACTACATTCAGACTACAGGGACTTGCAGGAAAAACACACATACACTGTACACAAGCACCTCAAAAGGGAACCAAAAATAGCAAATCTTCCCCATCTTTCTCTTCAAGAAAGCAAGTTAGAATATATGCCTTTCTTTTTTCTAAAATATCTGATTATAAAACTTCAAACACATAGAAAACCTAAGACTATGATACCAATATCCTTTTCTACCCAACGATTCAGGTAAAGAAATGGAAACATTACAGAAAAAGTAAAAATATTCAGTGTACTTACCTGACAGTGGATCGCTTCTACTCGATAAGGGTTAAAACTCTTTTGGCATTTTGAACAGAGTTGCTTGAAATAAACCTAAAGATAAAATTATTACTTAATGAAGTTGAATTGGGGGGAAAAAACTGCTTCCCCTTCTTACGGACTCCATGGCCTGGCCTGTACTTTGTTCTTATCTAACTCCCACCCTTTCCATTTTAAGCTGCTAGGGCTGTTCATCACCTTTTCTTACCCTCTGAACCTGATTTCCTTCACCTGTAAAATTTGGCTGATTCTGCTTTCTCTATAGTTCTGACCACTCCCCAGGACACACATGAAGAACCGTAACAGATATGCAATGGAAAACAGTCGTTACAGTTTTACGTCCACTGTGTGTGCAGGACAAGCCCTTCTCCTTTCGTCCAGTCTGTCACCCTCGGCACGTCGTGTTTCCCAGTTATTTTACTTGTTACCCATGAATACCACGTGCTCACATACTTTCTGGGCTCTGTGCATTTTCCTGTGCACATTTTTCTCCCGGCTTTACCTGGTGATTTCCTCCTATTTATCCTTCAGAGTTGTATTTGGAAATCATGGCAGTGTCCCTCAAGCAGGTTTCCCCCCAAGCCCATGTAGTTTCTGTACCACTTCCATGCCATGAGTGTCACTGCATCTATCACCAAACTGCATTTTTGTCTCCTCTACCTATCAGAATACATTTCTTTCTTAAGGACAAGTTACACGTCACATCTTTGTGCGATAGTGCCTTGGAATGTCTGAATCCACCCCATTGTTTTTCTTCTGGCAAGAGATAAGACAGGAAGTAATTTTAACTTGGTCTGAAAATATGTTCCCCTTCTAGGTCTAGACAGTGGCTATTTCAAAAAGTCCAAGTTTTCACACGGGTCTCAACACGTCTCTCTGCCCTGTCCCAGGCTTCAGGCAGAAAGTCAGCCTTTGAACACACAGCACAAACTCAGATGCTCTGAGAAGTTAAGGAAATGGCCTGGTATAAACTGCTACAAAATGAAGTACACAGGGCAAGCGAAAGGACACACAGCTGTCTGTCACTGCCTCTGTTCCCGTTCTAAGATGTGTGTCCGTCATGAGCAGATACTGGGCTGTTCAAGGAAATCCAGAAATGCAAATTGAATGTGATGTTTTTCCCAATCCTATGTGTTAGCAATTAACTCAAGCGTGCGTGTGTGTGTGTGTGTGTGTGTGTGTGTGTATGTATGTGAGTGTTTAGGGGAGTTAGTTTAGCCTAAATAAAAATCCAATATTGGAGATTGAATCCATGGGTGCTCCATGACTAAGCTACATGCTTATTCCTTTTTATTTTTATTTTGAGATAAGCTCTTACTAAGTACACCAAGCTGGTCTCCACTTCGTAATCCTCGTACCTCAAACTCTACAGTAGCTGGTATTACAGGCAGGTACCAGAGCAGCCTACCAAAGTAAACCTCTCCTATGCAAATTAACCTTTATAAATTTCTCTTATTGCCCCACCTTGTGGCAAATAATGGCAATTTTCCTGTGCTAAGGCCCAAAACCTGTTCAAACAAATTTACAGCATAGCAATGAAAAAATGGTTACGAAAAGTCCCGTGTTGATGAGAGCAGAAGCCCGTCCACATAAGCTGAAATTTGGTCCACTAGAAACGCAAACCTCACATGCTAGGCTATGGCTCAAGAGCAAGGTGTCTCCCCCAATTCCTCAGTTGAACACACACTGAGCACTCACTGCATGCCTAGCACTGAGGACCACGGTGGACAAGATAGGGCCATGGCAGCCACGTTCTAGGGGGAAACACACTGCTCCATTTGACATAAGTGCCCCTCCACTCTCCCTCCCCTCCCCTCACTGTCACCTACCTTATTAGTTCCAGAAATGCACCACACGTACGCACTCTCCCATCTGATGTTACAATCTTTACAGTGAAAATAGCCATATTTTGGTTCCAAAGACTGAAAATGAAGGAGAGGGGGAACTCTTATTAAACTGAGAGGAATCCAGATTCTCTTTCCCTAATTTCTTTAAGGAACAAAAATGACCTTCTTACTCTCATTCCTGTCTATTCTCAATGCTACTATATGTTCATTTAGCTTCTCATCTCCCTTAGTTAAGAAAGACTCTGGAGGGCTGGAGATTTAGCTGTGCGGCATAAGCGCCTGCCTTGCAAGTGCGTGGTCATCAGTTCGATCCCTGGTACTGATAAAAAAAGAATGACTCTGGAATTCTTCTTGCTGTTGTCACTTGTACCATCCCAGTCCATTTGCCACAATACCATGAGCATAATCGCCCCCAGTGAAGATCTGACCTCCTGTTCACACACCACATTCTTTGTCTCCTCATGCAGCAGAGACCTAGAGGCTGGGCACACAACGGGTACCTCAAGGCAGAATGAAGCTGGGATTGCTTTGAAACTTAGGCTCAGGTCCCCATTTGGCCCTGCACATGTAAGGGATATCTGTAACTGAAGGATTCTTAGCCCTCAGTTTACCTGGCCTGTCTCACCCTTCCCCCTTTTAAGACTGAGGCCACTAAGCTAAGAATACAGTAATTTTCAGGATTTGCAGAAATATCCAATTATCAGGTTTTTACACTCTTCAGTTCCAGACCCTCAGGAGCAATGCCTAGAAATGCCCAGTCTGTTATCACACATTTCAGGAAAAGAGTCCAAGTGATGTAATAAGTTCATACCCAACAGGGGGCAATTATCCCATGATGGGCACTGAGGTTGCCCTCCAAAACAGGAGCCATCACCTCATGATGGGAACAAAACTACTCCTCAAGCAATGACGACTCTCTCAGAACCAACCCTAAAATATCAGCCAGACCACCACCTGCTTAGAATTACCTACCACTTCCAGCTGTGCAAATTCCCTGGCTACACAAACCCTGAACCCTTGAAGTTATTTCCTTTTTCTATAAAACTCCAAAGATGTTTCCCAGCCCTTTGCAGACAGGTCTCAAACTCCTTCATCTTCCTTTTCCAGTGTGGTCATACTGATTCCAGCTCCTTTCCTGCCCTTCACCACCGTCTCCTTGATCAGCATTTAGCTATCTATGGGCGGCTGAAGCTGGTCCCTACCCTACTCCCACACCTGACCAAAGCTGGAGCTTGTGCCCTCCAACTCTATCTAATACCACTCATTCTCTAGTAAGAAGTGAGTCGACGTTAGTCTTCATAGACTCAAGTTAGGCTCTGCACCCTCCTGTTAAACCAAAAACTCACAAAACTTACAGGCTACAGAAAATACCTGTTTTAAAAATAACCCCTCCCTCTCACCAAATGATAGCAGGAAGCAAGAGAAGGCTTTACCGTCATTGCCCCAGAAATGGAAAAGAAGAGAGATGTTAGGGCTGGCATGGCACTAAGAAAGAGAAGCTACCTGGAAGCTGGGCTTCTGAGGTGGACAGTCACCCGCATCTCCTGCTACTTGCATGTCCTTCCCTTCACCAAGATGCTTGGCATCTTCCTCCACCAGCTCCTGGGACCGAGGGAGCTCGTCCTGCTTTTCGTCTTCTGACACTGGCATCGGTGGTGGCTGCTGGCTGGCCTTCCCTGGGCCTAAAAGCACCTTGCTTTTGCCATTTTCTTCATCCTTCCTTAACCACGCATAGCCCCTGCGGCCAATCAATTGCGAATAGACTCCCCAGTGTGGCATGGCTTTCCTGTGGCTGGCGTTGTCCCATGGGCAGCAGCTGTGTAGAGTTTGAGGCCCCAGCGAGCACTGAATGGCCTTGTCCACCCGCAGGCTCACCTGCACGCCCACCTCCTTGGTGTTGGCCTTGCACAGCCGCTGGCACAGGTTGGGGTTCATCGGGGTGAGGATGGGCTCAAAGTGTGCCCTCCTGTAAGGGTTCACCCAGTATTCAGGGGCATTTGCTGGCACCAGCAGCCCTGGCCTGGCCAGGAAAGTGGGAGGACCCATGTTTTGCCTCCAGGTGGGCTGACAGTGCCGCGAGAGTCGAGACTGGCCCACGGGCAGTGTGTTCCCACAGTCCTGGTACCAGACGCAGGGGACCCGGACAAAGCGCTCCATTTGCTTACCGGGGCGCGCGGGCTCAAACTCTGCATGCAGTTCGTGTTCTTGTTTTGCTTTCCACCTGCATTAGCCCGCCTTGTCTCCCAGTCAGGTCAGTTCACATTCATCCCCGCTTCTCTATTTATTGCAGAATCTAACAGATGTCACCTATCATCCTAATTGAAGGAGGGACGCTTCTACCTACCTGCAGAGATCTAATTGCCACTTGATTCCTAATTGCTTTTCCCTACCTCTTCAATTTACTGTTTCTGAACCTTTTCTCATAGCTGTTTTCATTTCTGACTTACTGACCCACATGCTTTAATTGATAGCTTCATTGATTTATTCCTCTACTGATCATTCTATAAATCACTTGTGCACTGTTGATAGAAATGTAAATTAGTGATTTATTATGTCAAACAATATGAAGGCTCCTCAAAAATCAAAAAAAATAGGGGCTGGGGGTTTAGCTCAGCGGCGTAAGCGCCTGCCTTGCAAGCAGGCAGTCGTGAGTTCAATCCCTGGTACCGATAAAAAGGAAAAAAGACCAAAAAAAATAAATAAATAAATAAATAAATAGAACCACCACATGATCCAGCCATCCCACTGCTTTGATGTATGCCCAAGAAATCAATGTCTTTTTTGGATCATTGAACACAGCTGTTTGCAGTCTCTCTGTTTGAATGTCTACTTTGTATTCTTTGATACTGTGATTTGAGCAACTATTTCCAAGATGATAATATGTAATCTATTAACAGGTGATTTCTTACTGTTATGTTTTTTTTTTTTTGTAGTTCTGTATTATATGTAACCTTACACTGCTTTGTTTTGTTTTGTGTTTTTCTCTTTTTCCTCTTAAATAAAAAAAAAAAAAGAAATCAATGTCTTAAACAGATCTCTGCAATCTATGCTCATTACAGAATTAGTCTTAAAAGTTGAGCTACAAAAACAACCAGAGCAGGGCTGGGGATTTAGCTCAGCGGCATAAGCACCTGCCTTGCAAGCAGGCGGTCGTGAGTTTGATCCCCGGTACCGATTAAAAAATGAAAAAAAAAAAAAAACCTGAGTGTCTACTGATGGATAAATAAACTGTGATATAGATGGGAATAGCTTTCAGACATTTCAGAAATGGAGGCCTGGCCTTTTGCAATACCATGGATGAGTCCAGAGGACATTATGCTAAGTGAAAGTAACCATATGGAAAGAAAAAAATACTATGTGATCTCACTTACACTGACTCCTACAAAAGTAAAAGTCACCAGGGATGGGGAGGTGGAGGAAATAGGAAAAGGCTGGTTAGTAAGTATAAAGTTGCAGTTTTAAAAGATGAGTATGCTAGAGACTTGACACAGAACATGATAACTACATCTAATAGTATTGTGTTGTATCCTGGGGATTTGCTAAGAGTAGACTTTAGCAAAAATAGATTTAAAAGATAACTATGAGGAGATGGTTGTGTTCGTTGCTTGACTTGAAATGATCGTTCGCTATAAATACATGTATCAAATATCATACACATCACATAAAATCTGCATGAAAAAGTTTGAAGGATACTCCAGATATTAGCATAATTAGTGACATCTTTGAGTTTTATTACAATGGTATTAGAGATTTAAAGGGAAAATAAAAATTGAGATAATAATACAAGCCTTATACATCTTGGTGATGGATACTGAGGACAATGTAGTAGTCACTTTCCAGACCTGGAACAAAATACCTTATACTTGTTTTGTTTTTGCTTGTTAAAAAAAATTATTCATTGTAAAAAAAAGTATTCATCAATTGTAATGTTCCTTTCTAGGGGGCACAAGACTAAAATTATTTTGTGTGTAGCTCATGCTAGGACTCAGTCTCGATCATGGTATTTAAATTGTATGAATTTTTGTACTATCTATATTTATACTGAAACAGTACTGATTTTATAACTCTAACAATCTAATGTCTTCTTTGATTACCATTTTATCATGATTTCTTATTGAATGTTCAAAATTAGTGATGTTTGTACTCTTTAATAGAAAAAAATCTATGCTACCAAAGCAAACTTATGTTTCAGAAAGTTTTTCTATTAAGTTTATAAGGAACATAGTTTAGTATTTACCCCAAAAATCAGTTTTTTGGTGAGCTCACCAAGTTAAATTTCTGCATATGAATAAGGAAAAACACCTATTTACAGCAACATATGAAATGTATAAGTTCCCTTCAGCCATTTCTGATTGAATCTTATTACAGTAGGTCTCTGACCTACAAACATTTAAGTTGTGAATTTTCACAGGTGATCCAACCTCCCATTAGGAACATTCCTAGTTTAGCTTACATGTATACCTTATCATTTGAAGGTAACTGTAAAAATAAAAATAATTTACAGTAATTTTGGGGGGTGTATGTGCTTTAGGTTTTTTATGCTTTATATTGTATGTTATGTCAATGGTAGGTAAGGTTCACTTCGTTGGCTTACAAGTGGATCCAATTTATGAATGTTCTCTAGGAATAGAACTGGTTTCTATCCCCACCGATTTCTATCCCCAAACCCAATGCTCACTGATTTATTCAGCTCAAAAGATAAGAAAAAAATTACTGGACTAGAGTTTAGAAACTGATATTCTAGTCTTAGCTGTCCCATAGGTGTAAGGATGGGGTATTTTTTTCACTTTTCTGAGCCTACTTCCTTGCACTATAGCTGGCAACCACTAATTAAATGCCTCCTGGAAATCAGGTCAGCAGTCCATGACTTCAGATGCTGAAAGTCTTTCTAGATGAGGCAGTCTGGGCTAAATAACCTTCAAATCCTCTGTTTCAGAGTTCGTATTCTATGATTTGAACAGGATTATATTCATATGCTATGACCTAAGGTTAATATAACAAAGACTGCCAAATGACAGCAAAAAGCTGTGAAGTACTGAAGTTTTCCTATGTGAACACTAGTAAAATAAGTTTTAAAATCAGAAGCAGGTTTTATGTATTCATACAGAAGGTGATTCAACTGTAAAGGGAGCTCTGTTAGCATTATGCAATCCTATATTTAACAATCTTTTTTCTCAACAGTTCTTTGAACTTTTATAATCTTGGAGAGATCCTTTCATCTGAAGTTTTCATGCCTTCAGATATTTTGCATGATGTCTGATATGATCAGCAATAAGGGTGGCAGTGAAGCAGTAGCTATGATTGTAACCTTCTTGCAACCTAAAAACAACAGAGATTTTCTTTTCTGTATAAGCAGCAGTGAAGTAATCTAGGAGTAGCTGTCCATCTGAAAGGGACTGGTCCTCTTTTCCCTGATCAGTCAATGTGTCCAGCTGAGAACCTGGTAAGACTTCACAAGATGGTTTGCATCAGAAGTCTTCCATTTACTTTGATCTAATCCCAAATATCTAACAAAGGCTTTTTTGCTCCAAGGACAGGTCCCTGGGTTGCAAATTGGACCAAATGCTGACACAGATTTGTATTTTCCAAGACTTCCGAAGCACAAATCAGAACTCTGTGGTTTCCTATGGAGTAGTCAAAAGTAGATTCCTTTGCAGGTTCCCTGGAAAATCAGCATTTATGAGTTGGGGGAGCTCTTCTGTCACATAACAGTACATTCAATAGTTAGTTTTCCGAGGGTCTTCAGTAGCATCCTCACAAAACCTGGCTCCAGTGCCGAAGTCCAGCTTTAATATGGCATTCGTGAAGGCTGATATCTGCAGTGATGACCCCAAGGCTGTGTTTAAGGCAGCTTGGTGACAACCACATTATGATATAAAATTTTGCTCTGCGCAGTTAAGCCAAAGAGCTGATAGAAGGCAGGACACTTTCCAGTTTCTGCCTCTGGTGGGACAGAGACAGCAAACTTTGTTTTATATTTTTATCTCCACATTCTCATGTTCAAAAACTTTCTGAAATCCCCCAAATCACTTATTTCTGGAAATCTGCTTCAACGCCATTCTTCTCTTGTCCAACCAGTATTTGTTTATTTGTACCAAATGGCAGGTGACCCTCGGGGTGCTGTGGAGCTGGTAGTGAGGGCCAGAGACCTTGTTTTTTGTTGTTTCTGTTGTTGTTGTTTTGGTTTTTTTTGAGACACAGTCTCACTGTGTAGTTCAGGCTGGCCTGGAACTCATGTTGAGCCTCCTGCTTCAGCCTCCCAAGGTGTGTACCACCTTGCCTGGCTATGACACCACAATTGAAAAGAGAGGTTTATTTTGGCTTGTGATGAAAAATAGTTTAAAAAACAAAGCATGAGAAATGTTTGAAGATGATCTACCTGGGACAGGAGACCTAGAGGATGGGTTTGGAGGTTCGTGGTGTTCTGGGGACCTAAGAGTGATAACCTGCAAGTCTGTCTGCTGACCCTGCTCTCTTTTCTTTGCCCACAGGTTATGAAGTGACAGTGCTGGTGCGGGACCCCTCCAGGCTGCCGTCAGGGGGGCCCAGCCAGCCCACGTGATAGTGGGGGATGTCAGGCAAGCAGCCGACGTGGACAAGACTGTGGCTGGGCAGGACGCTGTCATTGTGCTGCTGGGCAGCGGCAATGACCTCAGTACTGGGCCCCCTCTCTGCCCACCTGCCTCCCAACACTTCGGCCCCCATCACCACTCCCACTCCCCGCCCCACCCCTGTTACCTCCACCCCTACCTCCTCCCACCAGTGACAGCCGCTCTCTGTCCCCTCTAAGGTCCTACTACCATGATGTCTGAGTGCACCCAGAACTCTGTGGCAGCCATGAAGTCTCACGGAGTGGACAAGGTTGTGGCCTGCACCTCGGGTGGGTGGCGGGTTCAAAAAACAAACAAACAAACAAACAAAGCATATAGCAAATTGAGGTAGTGCCATCCGAGTGGATGACTCGGATGACAGTGTACAGTAGTATAGTATATCTAATGAACATCAAGTCCCTAGGCCAAAAGCAAGGAGCATAGTCATAGGGGAGTGCACACAGTGAGAATGTAATGCAGAGGGTGTGTGGCATACCAAAGCTTCTCATTAGTTCATTTCCAGTGAGACACTCTTCTCTCTTGACACCCCAAAAGGGGAAAAAGCAAACTGTTTTGACTTATAAGTATCATTGCAATATAAGTACAGTACCTGAAGTTAAGTGACTTGAATTCAAATCTGGGCTTTGATACCTATCAGACAATATGTGGGGAACCACTCAGGTTGCTTCAAAGTTCAGGGGTGTCTAAGGATACCTGAGGATATGACCCTGCTTCTCTAGCACAGGGCCACAGTGGGATAGTTATATAAACACTCATGCACTGGTAATGGCACTATATAATAATGTAAATATGAGCTAAAAACTTACATAAGAACTATGCAATAAAGATGCAGGTGGCTCTCTTGTTCTCCTGCTATGCTCTGCTCCATGCTGCCTGCTGTTGTTGCCGACATCTTGCACATGTACATTCTTTAACCTTGGGACCTCACCTGCAAAAATGTCCCTTGGGCCCCTGAGTGGGCTGACAGTGGACATAATCTGTGGGACGCTGAGGTGAGTAGTTCCACGGTGGCTGTGGAAACTGCAACTGAAGGCCAGGGTGAGGCCTCAGAAATGGCCAAGTGACCCCTGCTGGCCTCACCATGGTTACCTGTAATCACCTTCTTGGCAGCCTGAAAGGTCCAGGAGGACTAAAAATAATCTGTTTGGAGCCCAGAGATGTCCTGCAAGCCTTGGAAGCAAGAGACAGACAAATTCTTCCCCCTCACTGTGAAAAAGTGGGGGGTGGCTTGGCTGTTTTCACTCTCTTCTGGTATGTAAATTAAGAGACAGATGGCTTGTCCAGCAAGTAGACCAGCTGCAACAGATAGATAAGCAAAGGCTGGCTGCTGCGGAGATCAAATTGCAAGGCACAGGAAATGTCTGCAGAAGCTTAAGTACTCATGTCCAAGAAAATCCCCAGGAAAATCCCCTGGTTTTGAAAGCCAGGCCAGCTATTTGTCAAAAAGTGGAGATGGAGGAACCCCAGCCCAAGGAGGAGGCCTGTGAGGGCTGCCTATCTCTCCACGGCACACACTGTGTCTGACCTGTACAGCCATGGGGCTGCGGGAGCTGGCAAAGCAGTTAAAGCAGAAGGTGAAAGAAACAGTGCCTGCCTGGCTGCTACAGCTGTGGCACGATGGGGCTGGTAACACACAGTTAAATCCATGGGCCAACACAGCCAGAACCCCCTCTATGAGATGGGTTCTGCAGGATGTACAGAGGACAGTCCCCGAAGCAGGTAATCAGACTGTGATAAACTGGCTGATGGCAGTGGCTTGCCTAGCACTGGAGAATCCAGACCTGTGGAGTGAGTCACTACCTAGACTTGGTAACTGTGCTACATGAGTTGGACGTGCAGCAAATTAGGTTTGCGCTGCAGTCTCACAGCCCAGATGAGAAACTGCTGATTGCACACAAGAACACGATCCCAGTGATCACTGCGTCAGTGTCAGCCCTTCTAGCCCCCTTTGCAGATTGCGTGATCCACGATGCTTTGGATATCTTGGCCCAGCTGGGAGACATGGAAGTGAAGCACCAAAGTAAGGTGAGATCTGTAAAAACTGCACCCGCAAAGGAAAAAAAGGCGGGGGGGGGGGGGGCCTCTTGGTGAGCTGCACCATCTTCCCAAGGACAGGCTGTGGGGCCCCTGAAGGTTGGTGAGTACCAGTGACCGGAGCCGCGGGAGACAGGAGACCAAACTCGAGCAGGATCAGCTCTCAAACTTTATTGCGTACAGCGAACCGGACCTAACAAGGTCCGCCACCCTCAACGTTGGTTCCTCTTCTGCCCGTTGGGGGCAGGAACAACCTCTTATAAGGGGAAGCAGTATCCAATCACAGAGAAGCGCGTCTAACAAGCTGATAGGCTAGCGTCACGGGTAACTGGGCAGACATGACAATTTGGCGGGCTTGTTCAGGCCGGGAAGAACCCGGAAGCAGGAAATGGGCGCCATCATAGGCGGCTTCCCACATCTCCCCCTTTTTTATTTATTAAAATAGGATGGTCTGTGGGTCCCTCCAAGGTGTCTATGACCTTGTTGCTGTTAGACACCTAGGAGTGGGCCTACCTTGTAGGCCGAGGCATGAGAGAATGTAGAGGTCTATACCCTGCTGTGCATCACCCTGTTTTGTGCATATCCTTGCGCCAGGACCATGCTCAAGGTGAGTGGTTCATTTTTTCGCAGGGCCAGGCTTTTGTGAACCGAACCTGGATGCATATAGACATTCATTCCTGCCTTCCCCCCAACCTTTGGGGCGGATGGCACTGCAGTACCCTTGGTCTCGCATCTCAATGCCAATAATTTGACTCCGGGAGGGACCCCTGGCCTTATAGGCCATGTATATCTGAGTGGAGCCTGTCTTAGGTTGACCGGGAGGGCTTTTCCCATCTTACCCGTCATTGGCTTGCCCACTCAGCTCTTATAGCTGATGTTCTGCAATGTGAAGGAGATATGCGGCGGCCTGCTGGCCTGATGGGCCACCTGCTGCCATTTGCATGGCTGCCATGGCTGTGATCTTAACCTGCTGCTGAGTTTGTATGAGGCGATCTAACAAGCATTTAATAACCACAAGCCCTACTAGGATAGCCATGGCAATTAGGATCCAAAAAGAGGTAATCGTGGGACAGAAGGAAGAGAAATGGAGGGTCGACCGGAGTTAAGCGGGTGGGTCATAATCAAGGACTGTTTGATTGATGGTGTAAACCCTGGGTGAGGCGGGCGAGGCTGCCGAAAAAGGTGCCAATGTAGGCGGGTGGTGCCAAGGACCCCAAAGATATTGTGGTGGTTCTGTGGAATCTGAGCATATCACAGGGGTGATTAATAGGAACCCACAGAATAGAAAAGGCTCCAAACCAGACATTTTAGTTTGTAGATGGTCTCGGGCGCTGAGCGTCGGTCCCAGAAGGGTCGAGTTGACTTGTGTCCGCGAGCTTATCCTCCTGTGCTTTATCAGGAACTGGTGGGGAGTTTACTGCTCGCGTCAATCTTTCCGGGACCCACAGCAGTTCGCAGCCTGGTTCCTGTGGGAAGACACAAACCGCACCTCGGGTCCAGCTAACCACTGGATCCGGGCCCATCCATTGTCCTGTAAGGACATCTTTCCATCTCACCAGCCCTTTGTCGGCCGGGGACGGGTTATTGTGCTCCATGGCAGGGGAATGATTATTGTGATTAAGGTTTAAAAAATTTATGGTAAAGAGTGCCAATGATATTCTTCCTTTGGGCGTTAGGCCATGGCCTATTCCCTCCTTTTGTTTTTGTAAGACACCCTTGAGTGTCCGATGGGATCGCTCAATGATGCCTTGTCCTTGGGGGTTGTAAGGAATGCCATGTTTAAGAGTGACCTCCATTTGTTGACAAAATGTCATAAAAATTTTGCTGGTATAGGCAGGACCATTGTCTGTTTTTAGTATATTGGGCTTTCCCCAAGCAGCCCAGGCTGCAAGACAATGATTAATAGCATGGGTGGCCCTTTCTCCGGGTTCTGCCGAGGCAAACATAACCTGGGAGGCGGTATCTACCAAAACATGAACATATTTAAGTTTTCCGAATTCTGGGATGTGTGTAACATCCATTTGCCAAATATGATTTGGGCGAAGTCCTCTTGGGTTAATGCCAATAGATTGTTGGGGTGAAGAGATCACACAAGCTGGGCAATACCGTACAATCTCTCGTGCTTGTGCTCTCGTGATGTTGAAGCGCGCCATGAGGGTGCAGGCATTAACATGGAACTGAGAGTGGAATTTTTTGGGCTGCTTCCAGAGGGTTGGGAAAGGTGAAGACCCATATCGGGCGCGTGGCCGAGTCTGCCAAGGCATTGCCCTCCGCCAAGGGCCCAGGTAAATTAGTATGGGCTCTGATATGTGAGATGAACACTTTTGAGGTTCTATTCCATAGCTGATGTTGAATACCTAGGAATATGGAGGCTACCGTTGAAGAGGGTTTAATGGGACCCGCCATCTCCAGAACTTGGAGAGCATTTACCACATACGGAAGGAACGTCCTCCTCCTCCCCCAGAAGGGGGCGCAGGAGGTAATCCAGGAAGTAGCTCTCCCTCTAACCAGGGCGGTACCATAGGTTGTGGGCGCCCTCTGGCGGCCACGGGTGGAGGTGGCAGCCCAGGGAGCAACTCCTCTTCCGGCCACGGCGGTGCAGTAGGGCCTGGTGTCCTAAAGGGGGCGACCATGGGTCGCGAGCTTGCCAAGGAGCGGAAGGACCTAAGTTCCTCCCGCAAAGCGGAGTAGCTCGGGCAGGGTGGTGTTTGGTTCCCCTTTTTATCTTCCTGAGCCCTAAGTTCCTCTTTTAACGGTGTAGGAGGGTCATGCTTAGCAAAGACGACCTCCTCTTCTGAGCCTTCCGAATCCAAATCAGAATCGGAGCCCTTGTGTTTCTCTGGAGGCCCAAAGTCAGGTGTGACTTCGGGCTCCTCCGAGCACTTGGATCGAGCTTTGTCAAGAGCCTGTCAGGCTGAACAAAGCCTGGGGGTTTGTTCGTCCGTCAGACAAGCCCTAATCAGTTCCCACAGGGGTAAAACCATGGGATCCAAGCGTCCCTCTTCTCGGGCGCATCTAAGATCCCCTCCTAACTTCTCCCATGACGGGAGGGTTAGAGAGCCCGTGGGCCAAAACCAGGGGGCAATTTCATTAACACGATCCAGAAATCTCGAAAGGGTGACCCGGTTTATGTAGATGCCTCGGGTCCGCAGCAGGACTCTTAGGGAGTCAGCGAGGGGTTTGCGAGCAGCGTTGCCCACAATGGCGAAACGAAAGCGAAACAAATGCAAGGGAAAAAAAAGACCGGCGTCCACCCGTGTGGCGCTCAAAATCTGTTAGGTGCGTCCACCCAACCCAGGCGATCCAGTACTCACCTGTCCCGGGAACCGCTGTATCTCACGTAGCTGATCAGGGTGAAGAGAAGAGGCGCTCGGGGCCTTCCGTTGTTATTGGGCCAGGTCCTCCGTCGTACCGCAGGTGACAGCAATCGCACCTCCCGGCCGAAGAGGCACGTCGCTGAGTCTTTTACCTTTTTCCCCGTACGGGCCACCAGATGAGCGGAGCCGCGGGAGACAGGAGACCAAACTCGAGCAGGATCAGCTCTCAAACTTTATTGCGTACAGCGAACCGGACCTAACAAGGTCCGCCACCCTCAACGTTGGTTCCTCTTCCGCCCGTTGGGGGCAGGAACAGCCTCTTATAAGGGGAAGCAGTATCCAATCACAGAGAAGCGCGTCTAACAAGCTGATAGGCTAGCGTCACGGGTAACTGGGCAGACATGACAATTTGGCGGGCTTGTTCAGGCCGGGAAGAACCCGGAAGCAGGAAATGGGCGCCATCATAGGCGGCTTCCCACATACCAGACCTGGACAGACCTACTGGCTGCCTGCCTAACCACAGACACGTTGCATGGGCAGACTTTGGATGTGCAGCTGATTCTGGAGGCAGTTACACCCTGAGCAGCAATACTGCTAATGGGCAAGGGCCAGAAGATTAAAGCAGCTCTGGTGAAGCAGGAAGATGTGACAGTAGCCTTCTTCTACCCCAATTAGGAGGCAGGCTGAGGTACCTGGGTCTGGGGGTCCTGGGAGACTGGAGGCCACATGTGGAATTGATATTTACTGGTTACCAAAAAATGTGCAGCACATATTAGTGTTGATAGCACCACAGTACAGCAACCTAGGCTGTTTTTCAGGACCTACTGTGTGCAGAGAAGAGGCTAGAGGTCACTGCACCACAGTCCAGAGGTCCAGGTGACTTTGGGTATCAGGTGCTTGCCTCCACTCCTGTGTGATGTTTGTTTTTCCTTAGTTGTTGCATACATACTAGGGGTGGACATACTGACTGATGCTTGGCTCCAGGCCATGCAAGAATTCTAGTTGCAATGAGAGTGGTAAAAACTATACTATGAGGCAATCCACACCATGTACTGCTTACTCTGCCACAGTCCATGCAAGTTGCGTGTATGAGGCAGTACTGGCTACCTGGAGATCACGAGGAGATGGGACAGACTGTCTTGAAATGGGCAAGCGATACACTCTACTCCGAGCCCTTCAGTATGGCATGTGCAAAAACCAGATGGGTCACGGCAAATGACTGTGAAGCCTCAACCTGACACTGGCAGTCAGGACCAATTTGCCTTCACCCAGGAAAGCAGACAATGGACCTTCCAAATGTTGCCACAAGGCTATTTGTATAACCCAACTTGGTATCAAGACCTGGTCATCTGGGCCAAGCCACACTCCATGTCACTGTTTTGTACTGATGATATTACATTAACCTATTGTCTTACAGATTTGAAAGCTGCCTTGCATAGTCTGAAGGAAGCTTTACTGGCATGGGGATGGACCAGGAACAAAGACAAGGTCCAGGGACCTGGCTTGTCTGTCAAATTCTTGGATGTCATATGGCTGGGTAAGACCAGACCCATGATAGTACACTAATTACAGGCATCTGTGGGTTCGCTAAGTTTTTGGAGGATGTACTGCACCTAACTACCCTGCTGTGCTCTTTATATGAGATGAAGAAGTGGCACCACATGGGGCTGCACAGACAAATGAAAGCCACTCGCTGGATAGATGCAGCAACCGCTGCTTTTCAGGACTCAGGGCTGCTGCGTATGTGCAAGCCCCATGAGTCATTGACCCTAATCTGCCATTTATCCTAACTGTCAGTGTGGATCATAGAGTATAGCAAAAACAGGGAAAGTGGACACCCTACAGGGCTTTGGTCATAGTTGTAGAAAGGATCCGAGAGCTGGTATTCCTGACTGAGAACAGCAGTGCTGTATGCCGCTCTGCATGCCTGTGAGGAGTCACAGGACAGAGAGGGCTGGGTACAGATGTGCACAGCCCCTCCCAGGAGTGGAGGCACAGGCCCCACTCTCACACATTGGAGGACATACCTCCAAGCATGGGCCTCGTCCTTGGCTAGCCTATTGGCAGCCAAACTGGCAGTGGTTTTGGAACCCAGTAGGATGGGCTACAGGTCTTGACCCCTAAACCCTATGCAAAAATGGGACCTCCAGCTCATACCTGGTATATTGATGGGTGTAGCCATCGAGTAGCCCCACAGTGGACAGAGTGGCTATGCAGCCACATACATGTGTGCTCTGGTTTGAAACCAAAACAGGCAAGTCAAACCAATGGGCAGAACTGTGAGCTGCGTAATTGCTTGTGACACATGAAGAAGACCGCCTACATGTGTGCACAGACAGCTGGCCATCTTGAGGAGGCTAACACTCTGGCTGCTGGCTTGGGCAGCTCAGGAGTGACAGAAAGAGCACAGTCCCTTACGGGGTGCCAACCTATGGTATGATATATGGTATAGGAGCATGGCCAAAAAGCTTACCATGGTTTAGGACATAAGCTCCTCCTGTCACTGGGAAATGACTTAGCAGATGTCTTGACCAGGCATTGCAATGGTTGACTGCTTGAAGTAGCAAGTGACCAAAAATATGGACTGCTGCATATGGGATGCTACTAGGAACAGCATCTCTCCAGGGGCAAGGAAAATAAACTTAGCCCTCCAGGTTGAAGCCCTTGCTCAATGTAAGGCCCAGGTCTTGAATGGTACATGCCAGGCTTTGATGTTGTTTATGGATGAAACTGTTGAAATGAAAACAGTTGTTCTGCAAAGCCACATGGTTCTTGATCTGTTCACTACAATACAAGGAACTACTGGTGCCAAGGTTTCATGCAAAAGGTTACATTTATATACCCCTGACCTTTAGGGGGATGGGCTATGAGGAACCACTCAGACTGCTTCAGACTCAGGGCTGCCTAAGGACACCTGAAAGATTTGACCCCCTGCTTGTCTAGCACAAGTGCACAATGGGATACAGTTATGTAACCCTGATTTAGCACAAGTAAACACACATGAATTGGTTCAGGCACTATATAAGAATGCAAATCTGCGATACCAAGCTGTATAAGATATATAAAATAAAGACACATGCAGTTCTCTTGCACTCTGGCTCTTCTGCTCTGCTCTTGCTCCATGCTGCTTGCTGTTGTTGATGTCTTAAAACACATTTGATCTTTAACCTTGGGCCCTCACCCTTGAAAATCTCCCTTGGACCCCCCCCCCCCAGAAGGCCAACACAATACTAACTGATTTATAGGATTACTGTTAAAATTAAATGTGCTATTGCTTGTAAAGCACAAAGCTGAATGCCAAACTCATAAAATCTCAGTAAGTGGTAGATATTATTAGCCCTCACATAACTTTACTTATTAGACCTATGAGATTGAAAAAAAAACTCTTTACTTCAGCTGCATCAGGGAAGTCTCTTGCTATAGGTAAAACTTATCAGTTATCAGACCAAAAGATCTCTAAAGAACCAAGTAATCCCAGCCCTGGGAAGGCTGAGGCAGGAGTATCATCTTGAGTTTGAGACCAACCTAGGCTACAAAGTGAGCTCAAGGACAGCCTGAACTGATTAGCAAACGCTGTCTCAAAAAACAAAACAAAACCAAAAAAACCACAGAACTCATTTTTCTAACCTAGGGTTGCCTCTGCTTTCACTGCTCAAGCACCTTCTGGAAGCAGCAACCCCCATAAGCAGTGCTGACCTCCTGAATCTAGTTGAAGCCTTACTGGGTTCAGAAACAAACTCGAAATAAGCTTTAAAATACGATTGTCCCCTGCTGTGAATTCAGGTAAGGTCATGTTCCTGTCTTGCAGGTCAGTTTAGTGGAAAGACAGACACAAAAACAGTAGATCGGCACCCTAGAAATGTCGAAGATATTACCACACCTGCACAGGTAAATACCTAATATTACAGAAATAGTTTATTAAGGTGGGGAATTATTCAAGAGGAGAAGAGGGCTCAGAAGTCTTGACAGCTAAGAGCAACATGCCTCTGAAACTTGGATCCTCAGACTTCCAATTTCTGCCTTTTTCGCTATTACGCAGCAGGGAAGCCCACGGTAACAGACCACTCGAGGTTTTCTAGGATGGACTACTCTGGGGAACAGTCCTAAAGAAACACTAGCTCCAAAGACAGAACAAATGCCTTTCAAAAGCCCCAAACCCAAATCCCGTCCCAAAGGTACCCGGGCAAGCTGCAGCAGTTAATAATTTAAGGAGCACTTTGAGTAGGTGGCCCCTCCGCGCGGGGCGCACTAGTACTTTGGAGAAGACAGCGCAGTCCTCAGCGGCTCTCTTTTATTCTGTAGAAGCCCGGCTACGCAAGATCGCCCTTACACTGGAAAGTAAGGAACTGCGCGGGGAGCGACCCAAGGCCCGACTTCCGGGTAACGTGTACGTCGCGTATACGTCATGGCGTCACGCGTCACGCGCGCGCAGCGAGTTTTTGGCGCGAGCTTCTTAAATCAGGCGGCGGCCGTGCTGGGTTGCGCGCCTTGAGTCCTGTTGGGGGCTGCAGTTTGCCGGAAGCAGCTCTAGGGGTCAAACGCGTCACCTCGGTACCTGCTGACGCAGTGTTTATCAGCTTGCTCCCGCCAAAACCGAGCCGCACCTCTGAGCGGGTTAGTGATGCCGGGGGTGGAGCGGGCGCGTGTTCCGCTGTCCCAGCTGTCCGGGTGGGAGCCGCGACCTCTGTCCTCCCTGTCTCCGCAGTTTCACCTCTGAGAAAAAAGATTGCGTCCCGCCGGCACCTTCCCGCAGAGTACATTCGAGCCCCTTCCCTGGGAAGCCGTTTCCTGCCTGGTCCGCACCCACGGCCCCTCGAGCCTCGGATTCCCCCTGTAGATGCCCCAACCTGAAATTTCATCTGGGCAAGCAGCTGTGCGTGTCTTACTTAACGCCCAGTGATTGCTACGCCCAGAAAATTTACGGAGGGAGTTGTGAAATGCGTTTGTCTGTAACAGGCGTGCTCTGTGACTACAGAGCCGCTAGCCACGCGTGTCTAGTTAACGCAGTTAAAATTAATACTGAAAGGTTCTGGAGTTCTATTAGCTGCGTTGCTGTTGTCCAATATGGCTACAGGATTGTACAGAACAATTCTAGAATATTCTCATGCTCACAGTAAGTTATGTGATTGCCCCCAGAAGGTGAGACTAAGGTAAAAAATTTAACTGCACACAAGCTTATCAGCGATTCAGATTTTACTTAACAGATTGCATCCCTGTGATGTATGTTTTTTGCTCTTTTGCAGAGGTACAGTAATTCAAGAGGTGGAAAACTTGTAAAGAAACATGCCTATTGGGTCCAAGGAGAGACCAACTTTTTTTGAAATTTTTAAGAGGCGATGCGACAAAGCAGGTATTAACAGGTTTTAATGAACCTTGATAAATTACACTGAGAAAATGTTTTCAGCAAAACGAGATGAAGACTTAACCCAATACTGTATTTTCTTTACACTGTAAGCTGTTCCTTGTAGTCATAAATCTAATTAAGAATATAATTATTCAAAAGGAACCAGAAGATGAGTGTAGAAACCCTGGTGTATGAGACTGTCTGGTAGGAAGAATTTTTTTCTTAAAGTACTATTAGAAAGTGAGAAGCAGTAATAATGTCACTTTATGCAGGGATTGACAAACTGGTTTCAGTTTTCCTTATATGCTTGAAAATGATCAGTGACTGTGCAAAGAGCTTACTGTGTTAGAAATTAAAACTAAGAACTTGGGAAGTTTTAGTTAAACTCATTGCATATTATCGTAAACAGTATTTTTATGGAAAATGACATTTTCCAAAACAAAATTAAAATAGAATTTTATAATCTTGTGGTTTACTTTAATGTCAACTTAACAGAAGATAGCTGGATTCTTGAATCTTTGCATGCATTTAATTTTAATTCTTATTAGTACATGTTTGTAGCACATACTGATTATTTATCATGGGGAGCTGGTACATGTATGTAACATTTTAATTCTTTTTACTTTCCCTTCCTATTTCTCAAAGGTCTTCCAGTTTCCTGTTATCTTTTATTTTTCTCTTTTTAAAATATATTTCTGGTTTCTCATATAAGAGAAACTATGATACTTAAGCTTCTGTGTCTGATTTATTTCGCTTAACATTCTTATCTCAAGATGCATCCGTTTTCCTACGGGTCATTCAGATTTATCCTTTTTATGGCAGAGTAGTACTCTGTTGTGAGTAAATACCACATTTTCTTAATTCCTTTTCCTTTCGTTTTCAAACCCCTCTCCCGTCTTCCAATTTGAACATGTTCTTTCTACTTCTCATTAATTTGCTAAACTCTGGGTTTCTCACACAAGGGAAACAATGTGATATTTAAATTTGTGTGTCTGATTTATTTCATTTAACATTACTGTCTGGGTGTGTCCATTTACCCAAAAATGCCTTGAGCTTATCTTGTACGGCAGAATAGTATTTTACTCCATTGTATATAAAAACCACATTTTTTTGTTCATTCATCTGTTGATAGGCATATGGACTATTTCCAAGGTTTAACTATTACAGTGATACCTTGGTTGACAAACTTAATTCTTTTCGTGATTCTGTCACAATGGAAATTGGTCATGAACCAAATAAGATTCAGTGGTTAGGTCCAATGCTGACCTTTTGGGGAAGTTTGATTTGGTATGTGAATTTGGTTTGCAACTAGAATCATAGAAAGAAGATACCATTGTATAAATTGTGCTGCTGTAAACATGAGTATTCATATATCACTGTGGAATGATGCTTTTAACTCTTTTGGGATGATGCCCAAAAGGGGAAATCTGTGTCTAATGGAACCTAAGTTTTTCGAGGAATTTCTATATTGATTTACATAGTAGTTGTGCCACTTTATACTCCCATTTGTTATTGGCTGATGTCTCTTCTTTTTTTGTAATGGGAATTGAACTCAGGATCTTGTGCTTGCCTGGCAGTTGCTTTGCCACTGAGCTATACCCTGGCCCCTTCTTTTTTTGTCTTTAAGACAAGGTCTCAGTGTATAATTCAGCCTGGACTTGAACTCATTGTGTAACCCAGGCTGGTATCAAACTCATATCAATCTTCCTGCTTCAGCCTTCTGAGTGCCGAGATTACAAGCGAGTGCCACGATACCCTTCTATATTAGTTGATTTTTCTTTTTGTACGAGCAGTCAAACTCAGGACCTCGGACTTGCCAGGCAGGCCCTATGCCACTGAACTAAACCCCTGGCATTAGTTAATTTCTTGATGATAGTCATTCTTCCTTGGCTGAGATGACATTTCAGTGTTTTTTTAATTTGCATTTCTTGAATGACCAGTGATGTTGAACACTTTCGTATGTTTATTTGCTATTTGTACTTCTTCACCTGAGAAGTATCTCTGAATTTGGGCCCCATTTTTGGATTGGATCTGTAAATTAGAGGTCTGATTTTTTTTTGTGTTCTTTATATATTGTACATATTAGGCCTTTGAGAAGTAGCTGTTAAGTTTTTCTCATTGTGTGGGTTGGCTCTTTATTCCGTTGGTGGTTTCTTGTAATGTGCAAAAGTTTTTTAATTTGATGTGATCCTAATTGTTGGCTTTTTGTGAGATTTCTTTTGTGATTAGGGTTTTGTTCATAAAATCTTTGCCTATACCTATGTCTTCAAGAATTTTACCCATTTTATTTATTAAAAGAGTAAATATTTCTGTTTTAATATTTAGATTGCTGCCTCAGTGCCCCTTAGTTGGCCTTGGGAGAGTTAGAGATTATGGGTTGCATTTTGCTTCTGTGTTTTCCCCTCTTTTTTGTTGTTACTTGTTTTTCTGCATTGAGCCTTATAACTTGCATATAGTCAGAAGTCTTTTCTAGATGTACCTGGCTTTTAGTTTTTGAGTTTGTCCCAAGATCAGATCTCTTCAGTTTTATTAGGAATGAAAGATTACTGCCTGTTTGGTCTAGCACACAGTTCTTTGGTACTGGATTATAGCATTGTTTATGACCCCAGACAGTTGAGCTATTGACATACAAGAAAGATCAATTGATCCCAACAACCATGTCACGTTGGCTAATGTAGTAGTCAGTAATAACATTAGCATCAAGCACAGACTAGAAAATGACAAACTGTGATAACTATTGACTTGCCACCTTCAAACATGGGTATAAAGTTTACAAATACATAATAAGATCTACAACAACAAGTCAGAAAATTATGTACCGTAAGTATCCCTTGAGTAGAGTGATTTTACTGTAAGAGGAGAAAATTTAAAAGGGAAAGTACAGAGAAAAGAATAGAAGGAGATTAGAAACAATGCTAACAGACAAAGGAAGATTATTCAAGCCTCAGGAATCTGGTGAAGACAGGAAAGAAAAAAACAAGAACAAAACAATAAAAACTAAAGGTCATATACATGCTCAGGAAAAAAACTTTTTAAAAAGAAACAACAACAGTGGAAGCCAACAAACAAAAAGTGAAGAAAAAAAATTTCTCTGTCATTTCAGGCCTGTCACTGTCTTCTAAGGTCTACAGTTTTGTCGTAGTGTCCACATCAGGACATGGACTCTGCTTTTGCTGGTAGACCAAGGAGACGGCGAAAGCCCAGATCTGTGCTTCATAATCCCAGCAAGCCTGCAATAGGGTTAGGAGAGATTTCTGTTTCTGGTACTTTCAGTTGATCCTGACCTCTGGTTGTGGGATTTGGGCCTGAGTTATTCAGCCTACAACACTTAGGTGTCTTTTGCAGACCTGACCAGGGCTCTGTGACCCTGGACACCTTCTGCAGTTCTCCCTTACCCAGTTGTTGTGGGAGTTCAACATTGGGATCTCAGATAAAATCACACCACAGTTGCTCTGAGTCCTGCATTCAGCTGGCCCCTGCCAAAAATGATATCCAACCAAGCAACCTTCCTGGGGACACAGAAAAGTTTGGGCTGGAGTCACTCACCAGTGTTGTAAAGAACAGCATCCAGTGCTGTTCCACTGGTGTGTCTTTCCCTGGAGGCCTCTGGAATCATCCTCCCTCACTATGTTTCTGTAGATTCAATCTTCCTCTCTAACACTACAAGCCAGGAAATGGGAGAAATGCAGTTTTCCTCTTCTTTTGTAATGAGTTCTGCTTGTCTCTGTGGGTTCAAATTTTCACTTCAGATCCTTTCTGGGCCCCAGGGATCTACTTCCCTCCTTTCCTACCCGAAGATGTTATTTTCCAGTGTTGGAATTTCCAGTCTTGGAGAGGTTGATTTCTCGCTGCTTACTGCTCTGCCATCCTTCTGGAACTCAATAATTAGATCTTTGGTCCATTTTGATTTTAGTGTGTGGGGAAAAATAATGATCTAGGTTTAATCTTTGGAATGTATATTCCAGTTTTGCCAGCACCATTTGTTAAAGAGGCTGTCTTCCAGTGAAGGTATTTGGTCCCTTTGTCAAAGACAAGGTAGCTGAGTATACTTAGGGTTGTTCCTGCGTATGCTACTGTGTTCCATTGATTTGAGTCGTCATTTTGTCAAGATCATGCTGTTGTTATCAGGGTAGCTTAGTGACGCTCCCTTGCCCTTATTGCCCAGAATTGCTTTCATTATTCATAGGTCTTTTCTGTTTCCATATACATTTTAGGATTATTTTTTCTAGTTGTGAAATGTGCTGTTGCTATTTTGATTGGAATTGCATTAAACCTAATGCAAATTCCAAAACCTAGTTTTGGAAGCGTTTTGGCTTGGATCCATCGATCCCTCCTGTGGACTTAGGTAGAGCTGGATCTGTGAAAGTGACTGGATCTAGAGTGTGTGATGCTGGGATTAAGGATGTGATGCTAGGATTGATTTATGGTGTGATAAGGTTGGCTAAGGGTTTATCTATTTTTATTTAATCTTCCAAAGAACCAACTAACTGATTCATTGAGGCTTTTTGTTTTGGGGGTTTTTTTTTTGAAGTTTTTTTAGTTTCAGTTGCATTAAGTTTTGGTCTCATCTTTATCATTTCCTTGCTTATATGAGCTTTGGGTTTAACTTGCTCTTCTCTTTCTGGAACCTTGAGGTTGAATATTAGGTTATTTGAGTTTGCTTTGTTTTCTGATGTGTGAATTCGCTGCTGTAAACTTCTTCTATAGGACTGCTTTCATTGCATCACATGAATTCCAGTGTGTCACATTAGTATTATCATTCAATTGTAGAAGCTAATTTTTTCTTTAATTTTTATCTGTGACCCATTGGTTGTTCAAGTGGGTTTTATTTAATTTCCAATAGTTTTGGGGGTTTCTTTTGCCATTTATTTTCAGTTTTGTTGCACTGTGCTCTGATAATATTCATGGGATAATTTCAGTTCCTTTGTATTTACAGTGGCACCTCAGTTCACAAATTCAATTCTCTCCTTAATTCTGGTCACAAACTGAACTGGACAAGAACCAAA